GTAGCGCGCCCGCGTCGGTCGCGCTTTGTGCGCCGTCGGACGGCGGACGGGAGCGACGGGCGCGGCGATGGCGGCGCTCCAATGATGGACGATGTAAATCAGACCGATTGTGAGCCGGCCGACAGCCGCGTCCGATCGGCTCCGTCAACAATACTGACCGCCGTCCAGTCCGGGTGTCTGTGTGTGCGTCCGTCCCCTGCGCTCCCCCAGGGAGGCGGTCCTCTGACCCTCCCCGGGAAGCGTCCCGGGAACACTGGACGCTGCTCCCCACCGATAGCAGCAGAGAGCAGCGCTGCGTTTAAACAAATATTGATTCGACTCCAAACTTTACTCCCCCGCTGTAGACCAATCTGCACCGTGATGGATGCTACGGGGGATGTGGCGGTGCCCATTATGCATATGCGACATAAAATAATGCAAATAATGCATAAATCTTTGTGCTTGATTAAAATCATTAAGCAATAAGCGTACCGAGAACCCTACACGTTTGTTTTCGGGATAAGAATTGAGAAGACATGAGAAGAACAGAGGAATCCTTGTTTTTGTGCCTACACAAAATCGAACTCGTTTCACATATCTCTTATCTTTTCATGTACATATTTTTCATTCAGCTTCGAATCACAAAATTTATAATGCATTAAAGTCCAACGCTGGGTGGGACAGCGTTACGTAGGCTGCGTTCCGTTTCACTCGATCGTAACATTGACAGGCTGGATATGAAGGCACAGCCCGTGCATTGTGCTTTTACTTTTTAACTCCGTCTTTCATTGGGTTTTGTACCTGTTGACGGTTTCAATAAAATACAATAATACAAATACAATTGGGGAATGAAAAACTTCATCTGTCCTGTGGACACTGGACTGAATGCCATTTCACCGCAATCTGCGATTGCTCATGGGGAAATATCGAGCGCCAAAGTGGCTCGAACCGGGCTCTTTTCCCACTCGATTCACGGACCCTGCTCTCACCAGCCTGAGCTACGGAGCTGGGCTGATTTATATTGCAGCCAACTCTAAAACTGTGATCTTGGGTGTGAAAACTGTCCTATACATATCGCATTTGAACTTACGCCGTCCTTTAGGTAAAGGTTTATCCGTGGATAATGAATGACTTTTCGTGCAGTAAAACCCTTGTACGAAGTATCCCTATAGATCCTCGTTCCAAAGAAGGAACCCAACTCCCAAGAAAAGACGGCCACTCTCTAAGCCGTCCATCGCGAATTTCCTCCTCCATTTTCCACTCCGTTAAACCGTCTTCGGATGAAATACGTCACAAACACCCACGTCGGTCAAAGGGATTCCAGAATAAGAAAAGTCTCGTCTCAGACGCGGGACTGGGAAGGTTGAATTTGCGGTCCTCTTTTTGAGCTGAATTCCAATCTCATTTCCTCCCCATATATTAGGTAGGACAGGCGCTGGATGGCCTTTATTCCGACTCGCGTGTTTTACATAAAGAGCTCGCTACCACTCACCGAATCACACGCGACCAGCGCCAGGTGCCCCACCAAAAACGACGCCCCAGCGACAAAAGTAAATCCCCGCTCTGTTCCTGTTTTTATTTCCATTTCCTATTCAAGTCGGCACCGATAGTCCCTGCTTTAGTACCACGAATTTATGAAAACCGTTATGCAAATGTTCTGCTGCTTGTCAAGCTGAGCTTTTTTTGCACTGAGACAGAGGGGAGTGGCTTCAAAGTCTAAGCTAAGAAAAATGTAGACGTGCAAAGTTATGTGAAGATTTTGCGTTGACTATTTAGGCACGAACGCACGGTGCACTCAACCGTGCCACCGAATTCAGCTCCCAGCCCGCACTGCTCCCAGCACCCATATGCCACTATCGGGCCGAGCCGTCCTTTCTACGTCGCTGCTGCCCAATTTTTGTCGTGCTTCAATAGTAAAAATTATTGGTTTTCAAAGCCAATAAAAAGAGAGGTGGTCGTGTGAATGGGGCGGCGCGCGCGGCTGCCGCCAGAAACGTGGCCGGCACCTGCCGACCGGGCCACAATGGCGGCGCCGGCCGGCCCGGGACCGCCGGCGACCCAGCGCGACGGTAAAACGTGGAAAATGAGGCTGCATTGCTGGCCAGACGCCCACGAGTCGGCGGCATTGTGCCTCGCAGAATGGTCAGTGGCAGCAGCGGTCGGTGGCGCGCGCGACAAAGAAGCCACGGCTATAACTCATGACCAGTGCCCGGCCCAAGACGGTAGCGAGTCACAGCTGAGACGGGCGAGTTAGAGGCGAGTCGAGCGAGTCTCGTCGAGACTCGACTCCGTTTCACGGCGCACAGCCGGATTACATGGGGCGTAAAACGGCGCACCGCAGCGGCGCTGAAGTGGGGGAGGCCGCCAGCGGTTCTCCGGACCACTTGTGCGTCCCGCGACAGATGGGTGTCTGGTGGGTGGCTCAGCTGGAGATAAGAGGATCTTCTCGGCTCGATGTGTCGACTCAACACAGTGGCTCGTCGGCTTGGAGGAGGAATGAATTGACTCAGAGGAGGCATTCGCACATGGCCTCATCCTTTACGTAAAGTTTTCATCAATGCTTTCGTATGACATCCAATCTCTCGATTAATTCCGTTTTGTCCATTTTCTCCATTTTCTCTTTGAAGTTAATGTAAAATCCCAGACGGCAATATTGTTTTTTAGGCCTTCAATAGTTCTACAGGTAGCCAATGACATCTGCACGTGAACATGGTTGCCTGTGAGAGGTGCACATGGGACCGATCGCGGCTGGAGGAGCTGGTCGAAACGGATGTCTGGGCCTGTGCACTGCAGTGGTGACCGGGGAGAGAAACGGAGCGGGCCGGCGTGCAGCATGGCCCACCTGCAACCCCTCCTCGACCCACCCACATACCCTCTCCGTCCTCAGCGACCCACCCCAACCCGCCAGAGCAGCGCGGGTCACACGTAAATAAATACCCCGAGCCGTCACCCGGCCGACTCAGCCCGCCGCTAAAGCCCGACAGCACCGGCTCAAACCCGACAGTCGTCCACAAGTGGGTGGGGATAAGGAGATATGAGGGAAAAAACGAACATATGCTATACGTCAACTGTCAGATCTGTCTGAGATTGATGTCAGTGGAAAGGGATTGCAGTTGGCCAAGAGTTGGTCAAGTTGGCAACTGTCACCGTTAATTTCGAACAAATCATTAATTGCATATTCACGCAGTAATGCTTGAAAGTGTTACAGACTGGCATGTATTTGCTAATTCCACATTGATTATGCGAATGCTGCACGGTTAAAAACAATATAAGGAACAGCAAAAAAGGAAAATCAGCGATATTTTGATTAAAAAATATTTACGGTGAGCAAATTTGCCATGATTCAAGCACGAGTTAATTATTCCCTATAATCTCAATCATGATTACCTACATGATAACATAGATAATATGTTTAGGTAGGTAATTGAAAACACTCCTTTAGCATAACCATTTTCTTTTTTGTATGGCCTCCGCATATTTCATGACTTTTTTGGTCAAGAGTCAGTGCCTACCTACTTATTTATGGTGCGTATACGGAAAATTGATAATACGAAACTACATTCATTTACAAGCAATAATGCTGTCTAGAATTTTACGTTTACTTCAAAGAGAGAATGGAGAAAATGGAGAAAACGGAATTAATTTTCAGGATGCAAGCATCCATACTGTCATGTTTTGCCATATTTGAATGGCTACCTTCTCTGAGGCTATGTTAGCATTTTTAATGCGAATTTCTACAAAGTAACTGACGAGCAGTGGCGTTTCAACTCAGTGTTATCAGCCAGAAATAGTCGTTTTCACGACGGCCATCTGGTACACATCTGGTGCACATTTGGTGCAGATTAGGTGCATATTTGGTCAAATTAGGTGCACTCGCCAGTCGCCGGATAGCCCGTCGTGAAAACGGCCAATACCTACATATGTACGTAGTTTGACAGAATTCCCGCACAAACATGGTTTCCGTGTTAGTACCGACACGACCCTCCATCGTTACCACCCATCAGTACTATCCCTCCATCGGTACCGTCATAACCCCCATCGGTACTATCCCTCCATCGGTACCGACACAACCCTCCATCGGTACTATCCCTCCATCGGTACCGTCATAACCCCCATCGGTACTATCCCTCCATCGGTACCGACACAGCCCTCCGTCGAGCTCGGCGATCAGGGGCGCCCGTGCGGACGCGCGGGTGAAAATAAACCGAAAATCAATACGGCCGCGGCGACTGCCCAGCGGTCAGGGGACGCGAAGGGTGGAGGGGACGGCAGGGCCGGCCAGCGACGCTGTTTTTACGAGGGGACCTCCCCAATGGCGGCCAACGAGCGCGTGACACCCCGCCGGGGCCGACGGAGCGACGAGACGTCGACGGCGGCGGCGGCGGCGGCGATCTTTGCCCCGTTGGCGCCGGCGGGCGATCGGGTGTCACCGACCCGTCCCTGTCCGCCGGCCGACAGTCAGTGGCGACACGCACAAAACGCACACGGCCGCACCGCCGACCAAGACACGTGGGCGGCCGGCCAGAGACGGGTGGGGTGGCCGACCGTCCATCCCTGCTCCCCCGGCTCCGATACGGGGCACTACGTCCCTCTCAATCATTCAGCCGTTATATTGTTGATTTGCGTCGCAGCGTGAGTTATTTATCCGGCGCACCTCGGCCCGTCCCTACCCACTCCTGTGACGATGTGTTTTATTGACCGGGAAGGTAGTCCCATGACGGGTCACTCACTTCCTGAATACAAACTCATCGATAGACTGAAGTGATCTAAGCCACTTCAGCGTTCTCTCCCGCCACTGATATCCATCATCAATCTCACTTTTACCAAAGACCTTGATCGCTCATCTCCCCGCGCTACGGGCCGGTCGCCAAAATAAGACCCGTCCAAGCGGCCGTCATGCGTGTACGCAGCCGGTGTGCGGCGGGGCCGGTGCGTCGTCCGGCCGGCCGGCGCGGCGCGGCGACCGTCAGCTGACGGCAGTGCGCCCGCCGACCGCGGCCGCCGGCGCTGCCCGCGGCGGTTCCTTCCGGCTGTCTGGGGGAGCTACTCGTCCCATGTGAGTACCGAGTACCCGATTGAACCGCGGTGACCCGCCTACTCGCCTCCTTTGCGGTCCTCCCCGGCGGGTTAGATACCGGACTTCCGGTTAGAGCCGCCCCTCGGCCGCTCCGTCCGGCCGCGGAGGGACCGAGTGTATGGGTGACGTCATAGCTGTGCGTATGGGCAGTCCACGGCCGGTCGATCGGCCCGTATCCCCCTCCCCTCCCCTGTCACCTCCCACTATGTGACCAAACCGGATATTGAATAGCGTGGTGTGCAGACCACATGATGTATTTCTGCAGGGTGTATACATTCTGCACTCTGCAGAATGTAGCAGACATCAGTATACTGATGTCTGCTCTATTACCCTTCTATGTGCGTATCTTATGCATGTCTTGACCAAAGCTTCTAGACACAGAACACTCGCAGCGAAGAAACCACCGCGTTATAGTCCACGTATCAGTACAGTGCACTGGAAAACACCCTCCTGAAAACAGCGGCGTCTTAAAAACAGCTGACAGCGTGCTCCAGAGGGCATTGGCCCTCACTCCAACGGTTAGTTCCCCGACAAAAACAATCACAATCATCCGCCTTCAAGCGCGCGGCTAAAGCTGAATAAGACCCGCCGAGCGGCCTGAAAGCATTTCATCGACAAGCATTTCCTTCAAGGAAAAAGATGGCCGAATTGAAAACATGTTTACGGCTGGGGCTGAAGCGTCTCGTCTCCTCGTTACCAATGTCTGGGCCGGTGCCGGTCCTCCGCGCCGTCCTCTTTGAACTAGCGTGCCCTGTCACGTGGTATAACGGTGAGTAACGGTCGGCCAACCCTTCCGACCAGTGCAGCGCTCCCAGGCGGCCGCACTGTGGCCCAGATTTTTAGCGCAAACAACTCGGTGGTATGGAGGCCGGGGCGGGGCTCAGCGCAGCCCGGCCCGAACTGCCCCGCCCCGCCCCGTCCCGTCCCGCTCAGTCCGACCCGGCGCAGCGCGGTCCCTCGCCCTCTGACTCTGTCATCGGTGGGTAGACGGCGCAATCCTAGCATTAGCTTTTTTTGCTTTAATGAATGGACAATTTGTGTTCAGTAGGTCAAAAGGAAAACATATGTACCTTATAAGCTAGGATATACGTCGTAATTTTACCTCCGTTGACTTCAGCAGCTCAAGATGCGATTGTCTCCATCTGTCATATTATTCCTCCTTTCACCCTCCTACATAGGTGTGAGGTTTCCTAGTTAGTCGGGAGACGTTATTGTATTGGCATTTGCCATGGTGTTGGACCCCGCATGTTATTTCACGTGTTCACCGTTTCCATGGTTACGACTTTGGATTTGTATGAATGAACAGGGTCGGGGGATTGATACTGGCCGGGCTGAGTCCGAACATGTCTGTGCTCCTTCTTTTGTTTACATTGTGAACCGCCAATACACGTAGCCGGTTCCATGTGGCATTTCTCAACACCAAGAAGACCTAACATGGCGCGGTCGGTAAGCTGAGCCAAGACTCCCGACCACAAATCAAGAACGACATCGGCATTACCTACCTCTCTACGACGGCCGACACTTCATCGCCGTGAGTTACACATTGACATTCACTGCGGTCGTGGCCAGCGGAAGTTCAATCGTGAGGTGAAATCGCATGTCTGAATTTGTAATGCCGCATTGTGTACCGTGCTTACTCTCGAAAGGATCGCTAGCGCAGCCGGAACACACTGAGTTGATATAGAAGACAATATACGCCACTCAGTTACAAGTGCCTCGATGGTCTAGCGGTTAGCGTACCCGGATTTCACGCGTGGGTACCGAGTTCGAATCTCGGGGAGGCAGGAATTTTTTAGCGTGATGTCTGCAGGAGAAGAATTCGCCGCTGCAATCGCCAGTCTCACCAGCCTGCTGAAGGACCAGGCTGAGGCCGCCAACCAGCGGGAGCAGCGGATGGCCGATCTCGTCACCCAGGCTCTACGAGGCAGGCAAGGGAGCGCATCGGGAGACGGTGACGACTCCCAGACATCGGACACCACGAACAGCAGACCCCGCCTGCCGCCGTCAGCCACTCCAGCGCCGCGTCTGGTCTGTTCGGCCAGCCTCAGAGAGTTCTCGTCATGGCGTGAGAAGTATAAAGGCTACCGTCTTCTCACTGGCCTCGACTCCCTCGACATCCCTGAACAGCGGGCGGCCTTATTAACACTCCTTGACGACGAATGGACGCGTGTAATACGCTACTCGCTGGACGTGACAGACGCCACACCTATCGACACTCTGCTAACAAAGATGGAAAGTCACCTCAGGAGCCAAAGGAACGTCATCGTCGACAGAAAAGAGTTCCATACCAGACAGCAAGCAGACGGCGAGCCATTCGACGAGTATGTAATGGCCTTAAAGGAACTGGCAGAGTTCTGCGACTTCTGCGTCCACTGCGCAGACGACCGGCTCCGAGACAGGATCGTGACGGGCATCAGATGTGAGGAAACAGTGCGACTCCTCCTCGCCGAATCGTCATTGACACTGCAAAAAACGATCGACATCTGTCGGGCAAGAGAAAACGCGACGCAGGACAGTGAAGCGATCCGTGGTAGTCACGCTCGCCCCGTGTCCGCCTACCGGCAGCGACGAAGCCGGGACAGCAGAGCCGGCCGGAGTCACGGTCCAGACGCCCGAGACACGTACCGAGAAGGCCGATACGGACGGGACGGCCAGGACAACCGGGAGAGAGGCTATGATAACGACCGACGGGACTACCGATCTGCCAGCCGTGGCAGGCGATGCGGCTACTGCGACGGACCATGGCACACCAAGGAGCAGCTAGCCTCCTGCCCTGCCAGAGGCACCACGTGCCGATCATGCGGCATCAAAGGGCACTACACATCCGTCTGCAGGAGATCTAGGCGGAGGCACACGCGGTCAGGCTCTGAAGACAGCCAGACATCTGACGGACCCCACCTGAACGGCGTGCAAATCCTAGGCGTCACAGCAAAGAAAACACCACAAGTCTCCCTCCTGGTTAGTCATCAGCGTGGACAGGGATCACTACTGTGGACGCCAGACACTGGAGCCGAAGTCTCTGTCATCGGCTCCAGAGAAGCGGAGCGGATTGGCATCGACACAGCACATCTGACACAGCCGGCAGACCGGCTCCTGGCCGCTGGAGGACACCAGTTGAAGTGTGCCGGCTCGCTCCAGTGCACACTCACCATGGGACAGCGCCAAACGTCCACCACCGTAACCGTCATACCGGGTCTCCAGGCAGCCCTCCTCTCATGGTACGACGCCATCGCCCTGGGGATAATCTCGCCGGACTTTCCGAAGCAGATCTACGGCATCACGGAAGCAACCGGAACGTCGCCTCCTGCTACCGGACACACGACAGCAGCGCCGGTAACGGCGCGCTCTCACACGGCGGTGGATGGCGACTCATCTCTCCCCACATGGGATCCAAGGAAAGGTGATCCGACTCCAGCACAGAGGCAGGAGCATCTAGACGCTCTGAAGAAGGCGTTCCCGATGGTGTTCAACACTCAGCCACCACTACGAGAGATGGCAGGCGGCCCAATGCGGATCGAACTAAAGCCAGATGCTCGCCCGTACGCGGTGACAGCCGCCAGAAACATCCCGCACGCATGGAAAGACGACATCAAGCGCCAGCTGGACGATCTGATCGCACAAGACGTCATCATGCCCGTGTCCCACCCGACCGAGTGGTGTCACCCGATGGTTCCGGTACCGAAGCCGCCGACAGACGGAAGCGGCGGCAAGACTTCCGTGAGGATGTGCGTTGATCTGACCAAACTCAACCTCTACGTCCGACGTGGAGCCCATCCTGTCACCACTCCTCACGATGCCGTCACCGGAATCGAGCAAGGCAGCCGATTCTTCACGAAGTTGGACGCGAAGTCAGGGTACTTTCAGATCCCGATCGCAGAGGAGGACCAAGACCTGACGTGTTTTATAACACCCTGGGGGCGCTTCAGGTTCAAGCGCGCCGTCATGGGCCTCTGCACGTCCGGTGACGAGTACGGACGGCGCGGAGACACAGCACTAGCTGGCGTGCCGAGAACGAGCAAGGTGGTAGATGACATCCTGGCATTTGACGACGACTACTCAAACCACCTCCAGCATGTTATCCAGATCCTCCAGCGGTGCGACAGCCACGGAATCACCCTGAACCCGGCGAAGGTGACGTTTGCCGCCGAGACGCTGGACTTCTGCGGATACGTCATCAGTCCTGACGGCTACACGGCAGACCAGCGCAAGGTGCGGGCGATAGCCGACTTCCCGACCCCAGAGAATCTCACCGACCTGAGAAGCTTCATGGGACTAGTGAACCAGCTCGGAGCGTTCTCAACGGACACAGCCAGAACGGCCGAGCCTCTGCGAGACCTGCTAAGGCCCCGCAACCACTGGGCATGGACTACAGTACACCAGGCAGCGTTTGAAGCCGTCAAAGCAACGCTCATCGAGCCACCGATCCTGGCTTACTTCGACCCATCGCTGCCAACAACAGTCCACACAGACGCCTCGCGACTCAAAGGTTTGGGCTACGCGCTGCTGCAGCGTCACGGTCAGGACTGGAAGCTAGTGCAGTGTGGCTCCAGATTTCTCACTGACGTCGAGTCACGGTACGCTGTAGTGGAGCTCGAGATGCTGGCAGTAACGTGGGCAGTGCGCAAGTGCCACGTCTACCTGGCCGGGATGCCGGAGTTCAGACTCATCACCGACCACAGACCTCTGGTTCCCATCCTGAACACCAAGTCTCTGCCAGAGATAGAGAACCCAAGGCTCCAGCGACTGCGGGAAAAACTCATGTCCTACAGCTTCACAGCAGTGTGGAAAGCTGGCAAGACGCATCAACTCCCAGACGCACTATCAAGAGCACCGGTGGACCACCCGAGTCCCGAGGACGAAGAAGCAGAGCACGAAGTGGCACACCAGACGCGCAGCGTCCTGCTGGCACACATCAGGAACGGCGAAGACGACGACGGAGAAGGTCCACCATTTCGTGACGTCATTCTAGACAAGATCAG